AGGCGCAGGATACCCGAGCCCCAGACTCCCGGACCCCCAACAATCCTGGAAGGAAGAGGCACCCACCCCAAACCAGAGAGCCAGGTGAAGGGATAGGACAGCCTGCAAGGAGGACCGCAGGACACAGGCCATTACAACTCACAGAGAGAAGGAGACTTCAAGTCTTTCTAATGGACCAGTAAAGGCTGCATTTAATTCATTAGCTCATTGCTGTTTGCTGCATGCTGGAGTTTTGGACACTAGAGGGCGCCAGAAAAGCACTGCATTTAATATTCATAAATTCATTGAGTGATGTGCAGAAGTCTGAGTAAAATCAAACTCTAAATAAAGCGAACAAAGCAACATTTAGTCAGCCTGTGATGTAGAGTTGAGATGTTTTACAGCTGACTGCAGGATGAAAGATGGAATAATATTCAGCATTTAAGAACAGACGCTAAAAAAGCTGACACAGCTCTTTGTAGTGATGGGCAGATGAAGCCCCATGAAGCACTGAAGCTTTTCATCCAATTGGTTCACCCCAACGCGAAGCTTCATGAAGCTTCATTTGCTCTAGCAGGACACCTACTGGACGTAAAAATAATAGCTGGCATGAATTTGAAGAGTGTGGCATTTTGCACACAGCCTGTAAATGTCAACAACAAAAGGAGTGTGTAAAACATGTATATTGTAGTGATGGCAGTATACTGTGTATATTTATACTGGCAGTATGGGAAATGATTATTTGGAAATGCTTGAAATGGAAATGATCATTTACTGTGAGGTGAGGTGTGGTTGGGGTGTGGACAGTGGTTGTGCTTTTGTAACGTTGAGGTATGGACAGCTACACATTGAGGCTTTGAGCCTCAGTCCTGCCTGTTCACATTTTATTCTGTAAAAACTAAATTTTCACTGCTTTTATGGCCTTTTTAGTGGGGAGAACATAGCTAGGATTTAATGATTTAACAAATCTTTGAATCCTTTGTCCTCCACAATGCTAAATGGCTGGGAGTCCTCAATCACCATGCTGACCAGGTCTTCATCTATTTGAGATTGTTCTCCTGAGGAAAGACAATAAAGATAAAGCACAAATATAAATATCACACACGTAACTTATAACAGTTGTATAATATTGTTATATCATTTAGTAACATTACTGCATCCTATATTATCATGGCATTTGATGGCTCACCTGGTCTTGCTCCACGATCGGTGTCCCCCTTATTCTCATGCAAAGCTCTGTAGTGCCTAAGCATGGATGAGGTGTTGTTGTTATAGCCCAGCTCCCTGGCACATAGCAAACACTTCACCTTGTACAAAAGTCAAGACAGCTCAACATAAATTGTATTGCACCATCAGTATCATGAAAATACATCTTCTGTAGAAATTTACATACCTTGTTGGGAGGAATAAGATCAAAATGTTCCCACACAGGGGAGGACATCCTCCTCTTCTTAGCTGGCTCCATTCTCTCCTGACTTTCTCTCCTCACTCTCATAAACCTCCAAACGGTCTCCAAACTCTCACTAACCGCAACTCTCCATCAAACACCCACATTTTGAATGAAGTCTGAGGGGTTTATATCGCTGTCATATCTCGCGGCAAAGTTCGAACCACTTCATGAACCAGTCACGTGGTACAGCCGGGCAGCGAGGCTTCGGACGTCATCATTTTCAGCTCCTCCCATAAATGAAGCAAGCCTCGATACGCGCTTCGCGGAAACGCCCTCTCCATTACTCGACACACGCTCCGAAGCCTCGATACAGAACGTCCCATCACTAGCTCTTTGTTCTAACAGAAACATCATCAACAAGAAGGGAAACGAACTGTAAAAACGAAAAGACAGAGTTTGGAAAAGGTTTTATTTTTAAGTTGAGACAATGTTTCATGTTTTTTCATGAGCATGAAGGCACTAGTTGTCCCACAAGAAAGTTCATTCATTCATTTCACCAACAAAAAGGAGAAAACTAATGTTTAAAAGTCCTGAGCATCAAGCCTCCACAGAGTGGAAGCGAAAGTATCAGCACAGACTAAATAACAGTAAAAAACAGGGACGTCGCTCATCCTTGGACCACATCAAGCTTGCGTGTGGAGCTCTGAGCGTCTGTTTCTCTGTAAAGAGATAAAACTGGAGCTGATGTGATCAGGACGACATCCGTGGCAACACAAAGATCTCTGGCACAACTTCACTTGTACTCAAGGTGCATGGAGAAGAGCTATAGCCTAAAGAAGGTGAAGCTCGAGCAGCATCGTGGGAACAAGAACGACTGAATTACTCAATCGACATGTTTCTGCTCGTTGCCTTCATCAGAAAAACACTGGGCAGAGGATGGGAGGGGCAATGATGATGATGAGGAGGAAGCCTCTAAAACGTGTTTTGAAAAGAAAGTTGTACATTACACAGCAGAGGTACATTTTGCACACAGCCACAGTTAGTTACTGTATATGTGCACATTTGTAAACATGGCTCTGTGAATATGGATCTTTAGGAGTGGGGCTCCAGTCGTTGCATCAGATATTAAATTTAAAGGATCTTGAACAGTTTTTATAGTGACAGAATTTTAAAAAGGCAATTCAACATAGACCCAGACACGTCTATAAACAGCACAACGTTCATGTTTTCAAATTGTTTGTTTGTTTGTTTCTTTGATTTGAGATGGGACGACCTGTGAAACGATCTTCTGTGTGACTAATGACAGAGACCGTCTGACTGCAGACATGAAACATACAATGATAATAATAATGAGAGCAGTAGTTCTGGGAGCACAAACACTAAAAACATTCACAGACGTCCTGTAACAGGACCGAACAGAATTAAAACCAGCTGCACTTTCGCGTGCTTCACAGTTCACTTCCTGATAACAACATGTCAAATGCAGTGTCTGTTTTCACATTTCATGATCATCATAGAAAGCACTGCTTCTCAATGCAATTAAAAAGATGGCATAAATTAAAGCAAGAGTATTTCCTTCCTGTAATAAGCTGGATCAACATAAAGACAAAGGAAACGTAGGATTTCAGTATTTCAGTTCACTGAGGTATGAATCTGTTTTCCTCAGTAACTTTGTTCTGGAGCCTGGAGTCTGCTGTAAATCAGCCTCACAGAAACATCGTGTCTCTGGTTTCACTGAGAAGCTGCAAAAAGGAAATAAAAGTACTTATTACATAAAGTCTGCTTTTAAAATCACACATACACATGAAGAATGTTGGTCCTGTGAAGATGAGAATTTTTATTATGTTAAAACAACAAAACACAATAAATTCTGTTGGTCAGAATAAAAACATGTTATCATGAATACATCTGTACTTCAAACAGGAACTCTGCACACCATTCCCTCACCGTTCCCTCACTGTTCCCTAACCGTTCCCTCACCGTTCCCTAACCATTCCCTAACCATTCCCTAACCGTTCTCTCACTGTTCCCTCACCGTTCCCTCACTGTTTGCTAACCGTTCCCTCACTGTTCCCTCACTGTTCCCTAACCGTTCCCTCACCGTTCCCTCACTGTTCCCTAACCGTTCCCTCACTGTTCCCTCACTGTTCCCTCACCGTTCCCTAACCATTCTCTAACCATTCCCTCACTGTTCCCTCACCGTTCCCTCACTGTTCGCTAACCGTTCCCTCACTGTTCCCTAACCGTTCCCTCACCGTTCCCTCACCGTTCCCTCACTGTTCCCTAACCGTTCCCTCGCCGTTCCCTCACTGTTCCCTCACTGTTCCCTCACCGTTCCCTAACCATTCCCTAACCGTTCCCTCACTGTTCCCTCACCGTTCCCTCACTGTTCGCTAACCGTTCCCTCACCGTTCCCTAACCATTCCCTAACCGTTCCCTCACCGTTCCCTCATCTGATACTTTTTGGACATTAAAAAACAAAATAAACAAACTCAAGGTGACTTTTGTTTGACAGCTTGAGGTCAGCTTTTCTTTCTCTGGTCATTTATTCATTCATGTCTCTATTATTTGTTACTGCATCATTCTTGACGAGGTCCACAGGTGTGAATATGTTCAAACGTACCTTTAAAGGCGAGTTACGCTGTAGTGTAGATGAAACACACACAGAGAGACAAAACGATGAGCGCAGAAAGAATCCCAGAAACAAATGAAACTATGAGCACGGTGTCTCCACTGCAGGACTCAAACAGCTGGGCTGAAACACACGACACAATCCAGCTGTTACACTAAAGGTCAGGTTTAGTTTCAACCCACAGAAATAAGATCAGCGTCTGTGATCAATGAAAAAATACAAACACGTCTGTGAAAACGTTTTTTTTCCTTCCTGATGTTTTATTTTATAAGCCAAGTAAACAGAAAATAAGATTTTTTAAGTGATGTTTTTATTTATTAAAGGAACAAAAACGTCCTACCCTGACCTTTAACCTGTGTGAAAACAGGTGCTTGTATTTCCCTCTGCAGCGCTCAGGCGTCTGTCATAACTGATGAACAGTGTGTCACATCAGTGTGGAGGATTTTCTGGTCTGTTCTCCTAAACTGACACAAGTGCTGCCTGTTGTTCTGGGTTCTTTACTGACCTCCTGGATGAGCCACCGATGTGCTCTCAGAGTAACTTTGTAAGGTCGGCTACTCCTGCTTCACCACTTTTCCAACTCCTGTTTGTTTGTAGATAATGACTCTCTGTGTGAACCATAAAGCCTTAAACACGAGTTTGTACCCAAACATCACCGATAGATGTCACTGACTTGTCTCAGCTTCTCTTTCATGACGCGCTGCTTTGTCAGATTTTGGTCTAATTCACTTTGTCAGAAACGTTTTTTGTCTTTTTTTATTCATTTCTGGTTTTCAGCTCTGGCAGCATTAATGCTTAAAATAGGAAAATTAAACTCAGCTTTCCAAAAGATTTGCCTAATCACAGTGTGTGTCTGTGTTTGGATAAATAATCTAAAAACTACCTTTTGTGTTACTTTGTTATTTATATTCGTTTGATGATCTGAAACATCTAAATGTGACAAATATGCAAAAAACAATGAAATCAGGAAGGAAGAGAAATACTTTTTCACAGCATTGTTTAAAACATACAAACATCAGCATCACAGATGGAAACATGATGAGCGGGAATCAAACCTGGAACAAAGATCTCGTCAGCAGCTCGGTGGCTGAGCTCCTCCTGCGTGGCTACACAGAGGAAGTGGTTTGTGTTTGTCCTGGTCACCGTGGTGAGGAGGGTGATGTCATAGCGGCCGTCTCTGTGTGACACCTGTGGCTCCTCAGCAGGAAGGATGTTCCCATCGCTGTCCCTCCACTCTACTCTCAGCTTTGGAGAAGCACCTCTGACCTCACACTTCAGCTGCACCCCGACCTCGCTGATGTTCAGGATCCCAACAAACGGCTTCGGAGCTGCACCTGTGAACACAGCAGGAGAAAGTGGACACTCCATACTGTTTCAGGTTGGAATAACTTCTTAGGATGATTGCAGAAATGAAAGACTCACCAACAACCAGGGTGACGTTAAATGTTTCTCTGTCCGGCTGATGAAATGGAAAATCACAGGTGTAGCCTCCACTGTCGGCCACCTTGGTGTTTCTGAGGATGATGGAGGCGTTACCAAACTTCAGCTGGTCTGAAAAGTGTGACACGCGTCCTCTGAAGTGCTCGTCTTGACCTGAACGTCTGTTATTATGATGGAGGCCGGCGTCGTACACAAACACCTCCCGCTCATCGTCTTTCTTCCAGTGAAAGCGCGTTCGTACGAGGCTCTCCTGGGAGCTGAGCGAGCACGGCAAGATGATGTAGTTTCCTTCAGATACAACCACCACGACGGTTCCTCGCCCTGAAGAATGAAACATGTTTAAATCATTATGTTTAAACACAGAACAAATGCAGATCATTCAGAGATAAGTTTTAAAACATCACATTCCTCCAGCACATCACACACACTCATATTGTTCCTGCACAGGCTTCACTGCTGAAGACATCTGCTAGTGTGTTGATCCACTCGTCTGAGTCTCACAGCTCATCACAAACGTTTGTTTTTTCAGTCAAAACCATCTTTTGCAAACCAAATGTGTCACCTTGATGATGAGTTTGTGCCTGTGTCTTAACTGTTTGGAAAATTTGGACTTTGCTGTCATGCAGCAGGCAAGTCAATCAAGAAAAACTGTAAATTCAATAAAAAATTGTCAACATGAATTCTTTCGATGCTTTGTTTATTGCTCGGATCTGTAGCTAGTGTTTAACCCGTATTTGTGACTAAAAAACAGACCTGCAAACATATTTTTGGGCAGCTTGTCAGAAAAAGGTCTGACAACATCAAACCCAAACAGCCTGCACTTATAAACAGAAACACTGATAAGCAGTAGCAGTGATGATGAGGCTGCGATAGTTTAACGTGGAATTTACACACAGTGAAGACTGAGACGAAGAGCTCAGGCTGATTTAAAGATACAAATCTGTTCTGTGATCAACATTAAAACCTTTAAAGTCCTTCATCAAAGCTCCTGATCATCAAACTCTAACATGCAGAAAAGCAAACTTTGTCGCTGCTCCATCCTCCGATGTTTGTTTTACACACATGCAGATGACCTGTTCCCTCAGTCTTTGAGACGCTTAAATGATGCAGCTCGCCGACAGCAGCCGTCCTGTTTTACATGGAGAACAGGGGCGAGTCTAAAGGGGGCCATGAGGTGCACTAGACTATATTTGTCTTTCATACCATTTTTTAGATTAAAAGTGAAATTTGTTAAAATATTTTATTGATCAAACTGCGTGAATATTTGAAAATATAAAATAAAAGTTTGGTTTTAAAAGCCAGTAAAAATGTAGACAGACGACTCTGAGACACTGAGCTGAGGGTTGTTAAATTGGATACTGAAATATTATTATAAATTAATAGTACTTGACTCCAATTAATGTCAGCAAGCTTTCTAAGAAGAGTCAAGCTACATTTTTTATGCCTTGGTTCAGATTGAAGATATATTATTTTATTTGACTTTGACCTTTGACTGTACATGAGATTATTTATATATTTTTTCATTTAAGAAAATGTTTTCTATTTTATATTAATACACAGATGTTGTATGCAGTTAAACTATAAACATTTCTTCATTTCTAAACCGGAAACCAACGAGCAGTTTGTTCTGAATCTGTGACACAAAGAATGAATCAAACTCTGAAAGCAAAAATGGGTGCTACCCAACACATGCCAGGTGTACCTAATAAAGTGGTAGGTGAATATATATATATAGCATATAGCATATGCTCATGTGTAATTACAGTGCCATGTCAGGCACCTGTGACACAAGACTGAGAGTCTGTGTTTCTGTTTCGTGCAGCTGCACCTCTTCTGAGAACGTGTCAGCAGCACTTTAATAATGTCTCTCTATTAAGCATCATTAAGTATCATTAAGTTATTAGTAAGCTATTAGAAAGTGCTTAATTCATCATTCACCAATTCACAGAGGTGTGGACTCGAGTCACATGACTTGGACTCGAGTCAGACTCGAGTCATTAATTTTATGACTTTAGACTTGACTTGAAAAAATGTTCTAAGACTGTGACTTGACTTGGACTTTTACACCAGTGACCTGGGACTTGAATTGGACTTGAACCATTTTACTTGAAAAGACTTGATATTTCACCCCCATCTCTAAAATTTAACACACATAGTATATAGAAAATGTGCACCATCAATTCAATTCATTCATTCATTTATTCCAACCACACTCCGTACATATGTGTGCATGAGTGTAGCACAGCCAATCAAATTAACCAGATTTTTTTTAAGAAGAAAAAAAAACGCTCAAACATGCTGCAAGGAGTTATTTTTTTCAGGTACATAAACTATGAAGTAGTCAACAAAAAAATGAAATGCAATATGCAAAACATGCAAGCAGAGAATCACAGACAGAGATGGAACAACTTCAACTTTGTCCGACAGCTGAAGTTGCATAAAGTAAGTAGGTTCTCTTTTGCTACGATTGGATAGCTGACTTCATCTAACTAGCAAATGTTGTCCAGGCTACGTTGATGGTACTGTCTGGTTTTAATGTGTATAATTTTTTTGTCATGCTATTTTAAAGCCGGTCCTACAAGCGCATCCAAGAATAACATGCAGCTTATCTCAGAACTGTCGGTGAAACTTATTCTAGGAGCTAAGTTTAATTGAGCTGCATTTTATAGAGGTGCAATTTCACAATTTGTGTATATTTTCTAAGTTCACTATTTTGTCATGTGTTGAGAAAAACAGATTTAAAAATCACATGGTCTAATATTTACATTTACATATAACTGCAACTTTTTTTTTGTTGTTTTTGTTTTTTAAAGACTCGAAAGGACTTGAAATTCAAAAAGTTTCAGACTTGAGACTTTACTCGGACTGGAGGATAAAGACTTGAGACTTACTTGAGACTTCCAAAACAATGACTTGGTCCCACCTCTGCCAATTTGTCTATAAATCACTCCTCCTTCTTAGTATGTCGCCTCTAATTACAGATGTGATTATTCATCTGTGGTAATGATCATAGTCAGAAAACAATCTGTATTCATAATGACATGCTACAGAGGAGTATGCTGTATAAACAATGAATGACCTTAATGATGCTTAATAGTGTGACATTATTATAAACGTGTTCATGTTGCTTTGTCCTGAGAGGCAGTTTCAGCGTCACACTGATGTGATTTGACTGGAAGCACAAATGTGATGCTGGTAAGTATTCAGGAACGTGATGGATCAGGATCTGTTTCTAATGAGAAGTTCATTCAATTCAATTTTATTTATATAAAATCACAACAACAGCCGCCTCAAGGTGCAGTGACGTGTGTGGAAACAATGAGAAAGGCTAACGTGATTTGAGAATTGAGTGAGAGCTGAACAATGCACTTAATAAAGTGTCCAGTGAGTCACTTTATTAGGTACATTATATACTTGAGATTAAAGTTTGAATTCTTTTCTTATACTTGTTTAAATCCACCGATCTTAACAGAAGAACATGAAATGAATGTAAATAATCCCGTCACATCTTTGGGAACGATCACAGAATCAAGTCCTTAAAGAAAACTTTCATCATAAAACAAATGTTAGAACAAACGTCTGACGTTATACACAAACTAAATCTCAAAAACAAAAAGAGAGCTCATAGATTATGTCCGGTGTCTTTAACTGTAGGTGAGTTTTTTCCAGTTCACATCTGGAGCAGCTGGATCCACAAACTGCTGTGAGAGCAGGCAGTTCACAGCACGCCATCACATTTTAATTACATGAATGGGAGACAATAGTCTGGATTCAAGGTATTGGAGACATGTACAGCTGGTATAAATTATAAAGGAGGTCAGAGCACAGAATCAGGGAGACTCTGTGAGAAATGATCAGAGTTATTGAGGATTTCCTACCGTTTTGATGTGCTGCTGTTACCGCAAACATCATCAGAGGAAAGACGCACAAAGATAAAAGCTCCGCTAAAAACATGATGCTGAATAAATCTGTTCGTCCCCGTGATCCGAACGGCAGCAGCTGGTTAGGAGGTGAAATCTCTGCAGTTAAAGCACCAAATAAAGTCGGAGCAGTTCCTGCAAACCGGAGACCAAAATCTGAGACCTGGGAAGGCTCGCACACCGAGATGGTCGGACACAGACTGCAGCAGGAACCAACAAGTCTTCACTGTCAGTGTGTGTGTCAGTGTGTGTGTGCGCGCGTGCATGCGTGTGTGTTTGTGAGTGTGTGTGTGTGTGTGTGTGTGTGTGTGTGTGTGAGAGACACCTAACTCTGGAAGTAGAAACAGCAGACTCACTCAGCAAGTATTCACATGCACATTAAAACTTTCATCACAACTTTTCTGTGAAATCGCAGCTCTCAGGAACACGATTGTATCCTTTTTCTGATGAACAGGTTCAACTTTCAAAGACCTGCATTCACTGATAAAACAAAGCAGCTGCGCCACATTTCCCAGAAGTTCGTAGGAGTGGCGGCTTTAAGCGTGCGCGGTCCTGCTTCAGGAGCTGTGGGCTCACGGCCATAAGCAGAGAAATCACAATGAGCGCAAACACAGACACACACAGAGAGGCAGGATCAGTTTATCTACACAACAGCCTACAGCCTGAACGACTGTCTGTCCAAACTACATCTGCTGATGTTTGGTGGTTGAAGCAGGAGAGACAGCAGTGATGGAGCTGCCAACCAGTCCTGGCTGCTGTAAAGAGTGTGCGTCATCATATTTATAACTTACAACATAACAGGGGACCAGATACCAACAAAGTAAACGTGAAGCAAACACTGTGTTTGTGAAGCTCAACTTCTTTTCTCTTGCTCCTCATGAAGCTCTTTAATGACTAATGGCTTTATTCCACCTTGATTTTTATTTTACCCACAGTTAGATTCATTAGCCTCCAGCATGGGTCTCATACGCTCAGGAACCCCTCCATGGGGAGATCTCCTCTAGGGCTTAAAAACCTGGGACTCGGGATAAAATGAAACAGCTTGATGAACCCAAAGGAGTCCAGTGCCCTTCATTTCAAACTCGTGACCTGACCTGAGCTTACACAGACAGTCAGAGCTGTTATAACCCAGATAAGCTCAGGATAAAGGATGGACGTCAGTGTTCGCTGATTAGGAAAACCCAGAAAAAGGCCGGGGTCACTGTTACAGCCCACTCTAATCAGCGAGGGGTCCACAGTGAATGGATATGCTGTGAGCACGGTAAATGTTGAAGCATTACAGGTGCGGTTTGTGTAACTGCTGACCTGTTAGTTCTGGGCATGATCAGATCCAAACGTTGTGTTGCACTGTTACACGTGTTTCAGATGAGCAGAGTTCTTGGCACTGACTGGATGAACTTCCACGAACATCTTCTTCCTTTCCTGCTCGACCAGCACACCTTCCACAGATGACGGCACTGATTCACGCGTCCGTGGCAGGACTGAAACACACCTGCTGTTAGTGCTACACGTGAGGACTTAATCTGACTGATTACACACCAACTGTAGATCTGAATAATTAAATCTGTAAATCTGTGAACAACTGCTCACCTGACTGAGCGATCACCGAGCTTATGTCATGGAGAAGCTCATCATCTGTCTGTCCACAGCTCACAAGCATCACTCCTCTTATGATCAGTGTGTTTAGTCAAACACTGATCACCTGAGGGGTCCAAACAGTGCTCGAGGTCACGGTCAGATTTAGTGACCTCTGTTCGCTCACACAGGCAGCATTTTAGGTCTTCAGTACACCAGCGCCTGATGTTACAGACCTGTTCGTATCCGGGGTTTGTCCTCGATGATCTCCCCGAGACTCACGATTAAATTCAGGTCCAGACTCTGGGTTAGCTATTTCATTATTATTACCAGCATCTTCATTATTTCAGGGTCATCATTGTGCAGTCAGGGTTGTAGTCGTTATGTCGTGTTAAAAATCTCTGGCTTTTTATAAAATGTGTGAAAATCTTTAGTCAAGCGACGATGAGACCCTTAAAGATTCCCGTCCTGTTCTCTTGCATCTTATGAGGATTTTCAGTGAGTTCATTAGTGTCAGTATTGACTTCCACTGCTGGAAAATCGAACCTCGCAGTTAGTGAGAGGATCATCTCTTCAACCATAACAGCCATCAAGGCAGCAAAAAGGTTCACGGGTTGTTGTCCCTGTAAATTCATCTGAAAATGAAAGAGTTAACAGTAAGTGTCAGATTGTCAAATCCAGTACGTGGTTAACATGTCAAGTTTCTGCGTGTCACATTAAAAGTGTGACAGCACTCAGTGCATTAAACCTTTTATAACTTTGATATTTCCTGTTATGAAAACCACAGCTGGCAGGCAGCTGGAAGCAGAAACATAAACAATGACTCTTTTTATGCTTTCGTCTGTTGAGCCGGTCGGACGAGAAGTCAAAGCGTACGTACGCTTTCATAGAACAGCATCACATTTACTAGGACTGCACAGTGGCAGTGGTGGCTGTAAGCATGTGCAGTTTATGGTAAATGGCCTGTATAGCGCTCTACTAGTCCCTAAGGACCCCAAAGTCACCCTCAAACTGAACACTGTTTTACCCTCAGCTGGTTTACATAAATCTCCACTCAACACTCAGCTGCTTCCAAGGAAGGATCTCATCCTGCTGCTGGACTCTAACATCAGCCTTTACCTGCTCTGCAGATGTTGAGACCTGAACGATCACTTAAACCAGGAACACTGAGTCAGACCAGCTGCAGCCTGAAGTGGAGTCAGCAGGATTAGACTCTCACAGCAGGGTCGTGTGGTCGTGTTTTAGTGTTCAGAAAGCTCATTTTCTTTTTGTTGCAGTGCACACCGCTCACCCCACAGAAAACATGTAAACCTGTGTGAAACACTGAACGCTGTGTTTAATTAGGACCTCAGCAGGCGAGAAAAGATCCACAGGTGCTTTGTGTCCTGAATCATCCACAGCTGTGGAGCTGTGTGGCCTGCTGCTGTTTCTCACTTTGCTGCTGTTTGTCTGACAAAAGTGTTCAAACGAGCAGCGACTCGTGGCCCAAAGAGTCGTCCCTGCAAGTTTTTGTAATGTTGACAGTTATAAGAGGCTGACGCAGCAGCTGAGCCGCCTCATTACTTAAGCAGCTTAAGTCTGAACCGTTTTAGAATTACAGACAGTTTTAAACACAGTTCTCATATTTCAGAGGCTGGCCTTTCACTTCTAGGTTTGATTATTAAAGATGAGAAACATGCACAACAGTGATCAAAGATTTAGCATAGTTAGCATGTTGAAAACACGCTCAGGATTCACACAGCTCCTGTGGGTAAATACTGTGTTTTTATTTATTGTATATCATCACGCTCCATTATAAACAGCCTCCATCTCTGCTGGATGTCATCACAAAATATCCCACAGACTCTTCTGGAAGGACACAGAGACTGTCCCACGCCAGCTAAGAGACATAATCAACACTGCGTCTGCCCCGGAGGCTCCAGCCTCACCCACAAAACATGCAGGGTGTGGGTGGGTGTGTTTGTGTGGGTGTTTTGCGAGGGAGGGGGTTTCGTCAGATGTCACCTCAACTGACTTCTTTCAATCTGTAGGACTGATTACTCCAGAATGACTGAACCCCTCACCCTGATACCTTTTGTAGGAAGCTTATTTCTCAGAATTTTTTCCTATATTTATCATCTAGATCCTCACTATTAGCAGACAATAATATGTAATATTTAATCTTCAGTGATGCATAATATTTTTTATAATCATGTTTGTGGTGGCTGTCCTGTGAGGAACCACGTCTCTCTGAGTAAACAGCTGTTAATGAGCTCAGAGGATCAGGCCGACACTCTCATTTAAGACTATATTAAACATTTGACTCATTTAAATATCACAGCTGAATTTAAAGGCCTGAGCAGTGATGCGGGTAACTGTCAGCATCTACACAGGGATTACAACCGAATGTAACATGAAGGCAGTGTTTTAGTACTTTTATTGAACTTGGCTGTTCAATGAAACTGGACCTGGCAGCAGTTCCCTCTTCATCCTCACAGCTTCCATTACTGACAAGCAACAAGTTATTAAAAGTTTCATGTATCACATGTGCTGGATTCTGCGTTTAGTAAGAAGAAACTGTTCTGATTACAAACTCTGATCATCAACCGTGACTGACTGTGTCGACCGCCTTATGCTCAAACACGGCGTTCTTTATGGAAAAGCTGCGGTCAGCTCAGCAATAAAACACCCAGCTCTCACTGCCAGTACCCACAAGAAGTAGTAAAAATAAGACTCTCCAGCTGCACCACCTCCAAGCATCCACCAGGAGCTCCAAGCAGGTCAAGTATTCGGAGCTGATTTTCATGTGTACAATTATATGTGACACTCAGGACCTCCAGTATAACCTGTAGGAAAACCCCAGCTCACATGCACCTAACCAGGGTGATACAAGCACGCCCTCCCCCACCCTTTCACTCCAGGGAGTTCCTGAACCCAAGCCTTGAGGCGAGCCCAGGCTCCCTCCCAATCAGAGAGGTGATATTCATATACCAAAAACCAGTTTTAGCCACCGGGGATCAGTCCACCACCCTGCATCTGGCCATTATAAATACAGCTCTGATATCAGGATCCAACACAACAATGAGCAGAGACTAATTTTTAATGCAGTCGGTATAAAAACATGAATGTGTTTCAATGTGAACCGTGATGTTTAAACACTTTTAAAGCAGTTTAGCATGTTTTAAAACCTTATCCACATCCATATTGTTAGATTATAATATTATTTTATGCCATGTTATACCCCTAATTAAAGATTGTGAATTATTATGTAGTTTTAGTTTGCATTATTCTCCTGAAATTAGAAGAAGCTGATAACTATTACATTAGTTAAACTGATTTGCATTACATTAAATTGCTGACTTGTTGTGAATGAATGATATTGTTTTATGATGCATTATATTGCTGAGTTATAAGAAATACTGTTCGCAGAAGGTTATTGTCTAATTTGTCTGAGTAGAAGAGAACAGAGTGTGCTGGAGTTTTCTGCCCCATTTCAGCAGGAGCAGATAAACAGGGAGCCAAGGTCGTAGCTTAGGCGCTGTGTGAGAGAAAGCATGTGAATGTTTAGGCTTTTATGATAAGGTGGAGGCACCAGAGGCTATAAAAGTTTGAGCAATGCTCCACCATTTTGAGATTTTGAGGCTGTCTGCATCAGTGTCCATCTCCCACGTGTGTGATCATTAAAATCATCGTTTGACTCAACCCGGCCGGACCAGAGTTGTTATTGTGGTTTTTTCTCTTGTCTCCATCCCCAATATTTTGAACCTTAACAATATCCACATTATCCACTCAGTCTTCACTTACCCAACTTTATTTTTCATAAATACAATGTTGGTATAAATAACATATCAGCCTTAAAACCAGAGGAAACAGAAGAGCAGAGAATAAAAAATACAGATGAAAGTATCTGCTGTCTGTTATCAACAACATTTAATACAAGCTGAGAACAGCAACAGAGACGCAAACACAGCGACAGAGAATCCAGAAGCAAATACAGAAACGATCACACCGACTCCATCGCAGGACTCGAACAGCTGATCTGAAACACATTACAGAAGCCTGCTGTTACAAAGATATACGTTTGTAAACACACTAATTACAACCTTTAGCAATCAAATCAGTCTGTGGCCTCACCTGGAACGTGGATCTCTTCTTCAGTCACATGGCCGATCTCCTCCTGTGTGGCCACGCAGTGGAAGATGTTGGTGTTTGTCCTGGTCACCGTGGTGAGGAGGGTGATGTCATAGCGGCCGTCTCTGTGTGACACCTGTGGCTGCTCAGCAGGAAGGATGTTTCCATGGCTGTCCCTCCACTCCACTCTAGGCTTTGGAGACGCACCTCTGACCTCACACCTCAGCTGCACCCTGTACTCCGTGATGTTCAGGATCCCAACAAAAGGCTTTGGAGCTGCACCTGTGAGCACAGCATGAAGCTACAGCACAAGGAGGGTGATGTTTAAGCATTCACACTCATCCATCACTCAGGGGTGAGGTCAGTCAGGTTGCAGGACTCTGGGGGTGGATGAGCTTCATCCTCAGATGCAGGCTCTGCGTGCTGTGGGGGTGTCTTGGTTGACACGCCTCCGCAACAGTGCATGGAAGCCGGGGAGGGACCGGCAAGACTGGAGGAAGGTGGTTCCATTTAAAAGGAGCTATTTGGGTTGCAGGATATCTTCCTGTTATTCCAGCCTATTCCATCCCTGTACAGTCACACTGAGAGTCAGGTCAGTATCATCAGTAAGTCAGACGTGCTCCCAGTGAGAGGTAGACTCCACCAGTACTGCCCTTTGGTTCTCATATTAAACATAAGTTTTATGGACAGAATTTTAAAGGTAGTTTCTGGTTTAGTGACCTCTCTGTGGTTCTTTATTACATCATCAGGCATTAACTGCATTTCGTTGCCCTGTACCTGTGCATGTACAATGACAATAAAGTTGAATTCTATTCTATTCTATTCCAACCTTCAGCTCACCCTGAGGTGGTTTGGAGCCACGTTGAGTGATGGTAATAAAAATGAGCATATCTGAGTCTGAGATCATGGTTCACAGAAAGAAAAGGATGAAGAGTCCACTCAGAGACCAGCTTCCGTGTTTGAGCTTCCTCTGATGAGCCGACGTGCCTGAACTCCTCCTGCTGTTATCACGATAACAAACAGCAGCACTGGAAGATAATGTCACTCTCCTCCCTCTGCAGAGTAGAAGGCTGTTAAACTGAAGTGTGCTGAGCAGGACCTGCGACATCATCATTAACCTGCGATTTGTCCAATGATTTCTTCTGTGTTTAATAGCAGAAGACCAATTCTTAGTAATATCTAGTAGAAAGAAATGTCTTTGTTGAGTTTTCACACCAACATCGTGGTGATTTGAGAACTGAATTTGTTTGAAGCAGTAATTACGTCTCCTTCATTGCTGTTCAGCAGATATTTCAGTGTTTCTCTCCACTGTGACGGGACAGCTCGGACCACAGTGAGGAAACACTCAACACTTGTATCTTTAAATCTAGTTGTTGTTTACCTCATCACTGACAGTTCTGAACCATCTAAAGATGAGTGGGGAAAACGAATCCACACCAACATTAAAGGGATAATTCACCATTTTTGGATACATCTCGCTGCTGTGTTAAATCAGTAGAAGAGCTTTACTGTCTCAGCATTAGTGTTCTTACCGTTTTCATGTCCTGTTGTTACTGCAGTCACAGTCAGAGGAAAGAGACACAAAAATAAAAGCTGCAGAGTTTTTGTCTTAAAAACAGAAGAAAACATGACGCGGAGCAAAAACGTTCCTCTGTGCTGCGTCGATCACGCTACTGACGCTCTGCAGCGGATACTCTGGTCGAGTGAGTTTAGGAAACAAGCCTCAGTCACGAGTGGGAGGAGAGAGAGAGTGTGTGTGTGTGTGTGTGTGTGTGTGTGTGTGTGTGTTAGTTCTGTTAAGCTTTGCATAAAAAACATCAACATGTTCAACAATCCAGGTAAATAAATTAATGAGTGCATAACGACATAAATGCAAACTCATGAATGAGAACTTCAGCTCTCACACTTACAGGCATAAAGTGTTTAATATCAAAGGTCAGTAAGAAGAAAACAGACATGTTTCAGCGCCGGTCCTTCCTCAGAGTGTCATGAAACATGTGAACACACGTCCTGGCTCCAGCTCTCGCTGTAAGAACCACAGATTACAGATTAAAGCCTTCGAGGTCTGAACTCGTTTCTCTCCTGTTGACTCTGAGCTGTTTCAGTCTTCCTGACCTGGAAGCTACAGCGTGAACGACACCATGAACCTGTATTAGGAGGAACGATCTGTGGCTTTCAGTGTTATGAAGGAGGTTCCCTTTTCACTGGTGCACATCACCATGGCAACATACACTGAAGACCTAACCTGGGGCAGGCTGGATGAGATCCAGAGATTATAGAGATCACAACAGCTTACTGTGAAATCCTAGAAGGAGGGTCCAAAGACTTTCCTGAAGAGCATCAATTTAAAAAAAAAGAATATTTTCACACCTGCTTTTCTCCTGTTAGCTGAAATTCTGTCTTCAGGCTAAACTGTATCACCAACACAGCAGCTCTTTTCCAGTTTTACTGACCAAAGCACTCAAAGCTCACACTCTGCTGCTTTTAACTTGTAATATAAATAACAGGAAAACCTTCATTTATCCTGTATTTAGGAAATGTATTTATTTTGTTTATTTTTTTATCTCTTCATATTTTTCTAAAGTCATAGTTTTACTTGCTGTGTAAAATCAGTCGCTCTGCTATCAGTAGACCTGTCCGTGTCTGTGATTGGTCAGAGATTGTCAGTGACACTTCTTAACACACTTACTTTACTTTGATCAGCTCTGGGCTTATTTATCAAACTGGCATCCATCTTTGCCTGATTGATGATAAGTGAAACCAGATAAGGAAAAGATATCCTGACCAGTGTTGGTCAAGTTACTTGAAAAAAGTAATCAGTAACTAATTACTGATTACTCCCCCCCAAAAGTAATCCCGTTACTTTACTGATTACTTATTTTCAAAAGTAATTAATTACTTAGTTACTTAGTTACTTTTTAAAAACACGATTTACAACCTGATAGAGGTGATAAAGAGATAGATCTTTCAGCCCAATTCTACTTTTTCTACATAATCCATCATACAAAATGTAATCAAATGGAAAAGTCTCTTTTTAAAACTTGTTTTATTAGTTTGAACCTTTTAACTTTATGCATCAAGCAAAAATTTAATTATCTGCAACATTCTCTGACTTGAATAAATTAGTTTAACATTTAAACCTATTTTCTGCACATTCCAGCTCATAAAATAAAATAATTTTGTGTTTACACTCAGTCTTTCAAATAGATGCAAGTAAAACACAGCAGAAAATAAATCAAGTCAAAGACTCAGCGGTCCTGTTGCTCTATTTTCACCTGTAAAGCAGGAGTGGGGTAGGCGGAGGTTTACCCTGGTGCAGGTGTGCCGCGGTCAGTGGAAGAATCCGCGAGTTTCTCTGTGAGTTTCCCATTACGTCGTAGCTACTCGGTGCTTGTTTGGAAGTTTAGGGGGTTTTTTCGCTGTAAAAAGAAGTTTTCTTCCCACGCACAACGGACACTAATGTTTTTGTCACTTTTTATGGAGTCAAACTCAAAGTAAGGTCAGTACTTCCACACTTTAAACGCTGCACGCTCATACTCTCTCCCACAATCCATATGTGATCCATTGTTGATCTGCACACAGCTGTTGTCACCAACGGCGCACTCACTTACGTCACTGTCGTGAGACATTCTCGCAAAAAAATCACGGTTTTAGTAACGCAGTAACGCAGCGTTCCTACGGGAAAGTAACGGTAATCTAATTACCGATTTTGCAATAGTAATCCCTTACTTTACTCGTTACTTGAAAAAAGTAATCAGATTACAGTAACGCGTTACTGCCCATCTCTGATCCTGACTAAGCTGAACCTGCTTCGCAGCACAACCTTCACTGTTTACTGTTGTTATTTAGTCAATCAATAGTACTCAGCTGGAAAATGTGCGATTATGTCACCAGCAGCCTGGTGATACAATGCAGGCTGTATCCACGCTTTAATGTTGTTTACACCAGATTTTCACCCGAGTATTCAAATGTGACAGCAGAAACAGACTCATCATAGTGCGCATGCGCCAACCAGCGTGCAGCCTGTTACAGTCGCTCCTGCTTTTCTCTTAGTTTAGCTCTTTTTTCTTACGTATTCTTTTTTTTCCTGACTTGTATTTTCCTCCGTTTTCTATCTCTTACTCAATCATGTGGATTGAGAGAGTTTTTGTTCTTCTGGTGGCTGTGGAACTGTTACTTTTATCAAGGAACGGGACCGCGGCACATCTCCTACACGCACGGACTGTTTACTCCAGAGATCAGCTGATCGCCCTGATGCCGGCCGGCTCGCTGGCCAGGCCCACAGAAGTACCAGCTGAAATTTGGAGGAAAACACATCGGGGATGCAGAGGTCAAGGACAGAAGAGAAGAAAAAAGGTGACGGTGAGACAGCGGAGGCTCGAAGCGAGGAGGAGGTTTAAACCGTGTCTGCCGTCTATCGTGATGGGAAATGTGCGATCGTTGGCAATTAAAATCGACGAGCTCTCAGCACTGGTACGGAGTCAGAGGGAATACCGAGAGTGTAGCCTGATGTGTTTCACCGAATCATGGCTGCACCAGGACATTCCCGATGAGAATGCTTCCGTGGAAGGCTTCCACACTGTTCGGGCGGACAGGAACAGCATCGCTAGCGGTAAGCGGAAAGGAGGTGGGCTTGCTGTTTTAGTTAACAACCGGTGGTGTAACCCTGCCAACATAACAATCAAAGAAAGGATTTGCTGCCCGGACACTGAACTGTGTGCTGTTGGACTCAGGCCGTATTATTTACCCAGGGAATTCTCTCACGTCATCTTGGTGGCTGTTTATGTACCCCCCTCTGCTAACCCCACAGCTGCATGTGACACTATCCACTCTGCCATAGCTCGGCTACAGACTCAGCACCCGAGTGCCTTTATTGTGATCTCGGGTGACTTCAACCATGTATCACTGGACAATACACCAACATTCAAACAATATGTGGACTGTCCCACCAGGGGAGCGAAAACTTTAGACTTACTGTATGCTAACGTCAAGGATGCATACAGCTCCTCCTCCCTCCCCCCACTTGGTAGGTCAGATCATAACCTGATTCACCTCACCCCCCGCTATGTGCCAATTGTGAGGAGGGAACCTGTGACCACCAGGACTGTTAGGAGGTGGTCAGAGGAGGCAATAGCGGAACTACAGGGCTGTTTCGAGGTGACCGACTGGGAAACACTCTGTGAGCCTCACGCCGAGGACATCAATGGGCTTACTGAGTGTATCACAGACTACATAACTTTCTGCACCGACTCCATTGTTCCAGCTCAGACTGTTCATTGTTACCCAAATAACAAGCCGTGGGTGACTAAGGACATCAAAGCCCTCCTCAACAACAAGAAGAGGGCTTTCAGAGGGGGCAACAAAGAGGAGGTGAGGAAGATCCAGGTGTTACTAAAGGACAAGATCAGAGAGGCTAAGGACAATTACAGGAGGAAGCTGGAGTGGAAACTCCAGCAGAACAGCATGAGAGAGGTGTGGAGGGGCATGAAGACCATCACTGGATTCAGGCCAACCAACAGCAGGGGAGCTGAGGGAGGTGAGAATAGAGCCGACGAGTTGAATCTGTTTTTCAATAGATTCGACACCACAGTGTCTGCTCCCACCCCCACAACCTCACCTGCAGTCAGCCTGGAATCCAGAGCCACACCACTGTGCCAGCCTCTCTCTTCACATGTTGCCTCCTGTGAGATTCCTGACACCCCTCCCCCACCCATCACCTTCACTCAATACCAGGTTGAGATGCAAATGAGGAGACTTCACTCAGGCAAGTCTGCTGGACCAGACGGAGTGA